TAAGTTGCTGCACACTTTGAACAGGTAAGTGTTGTCCCAACAGATACACACATCTTTTGGAGAAAGATACAATGTGAAGTATGAGATGTGTGATTATATATACTGACGTAGATAGGCAAGTAAACATCTTAATTAGTGACTGGAGAGCATGTTTAGCATGTTTCCTCCTACAATTCTAGTCAACAAGATTCTCATAAAAAGATTCAGAAGAAATAATAGTCCTGAAGCTAGGATCATTCATCTACCAAACCAAACAGTTCACATTTCATCTAGCATGGTAATCAAGGAGATGCAGGAAAAGCAACTCTTTTGGGTAGAATTCAGAAAGATGAGTATGAGAATATTTTTAAAAAGTCAACCTTTGCTGGAAAAATCAGTCGAACAAACAGTTTTTATAAAAACTCAAAACAAACTTAGTTTCTGGAAACTTCAAAAAAATATTACCAAGATATACAGCTAATAGTTGTTAGCAGTTATTAAAATGCTAGTTTGGCAAGACAAAATTCCATCTACTTAAACTATTATACTCATAAATCAGAGGATGAAGGTACAATAACCTGTCGTCACACTTAACAGTTTAACCATGCTTGGATGGAGTTGCTCAGGAATGACTTCGGACAACGTTATCAGATTTTCCAGCTGAGATTCACGTAGACGCGTGGCTGAGACACATCTTTGCAATAAGAAAAATGATTCAAGCAATATAAATTTATCTCGTAAAATGATAATGACATGCTTTTGAACCTGGGTTTGCCAAAATTAGTGCAAGATCAATATGGGGATTACGAGCAGCAACAGCAAGTGCAAGGCATCCCCCAAAAGATTCTCCAAGAAGATATATGGGACGTCTTGGTGCATGGTGATGCTCTGATCTAACAGTTGCTTCAACCAGGTACACCAGGTCTGAAGGAGAGTTAAGGGGAAGTATATCCCACTGTTACTTTCATTTCAAAAGATAAAAGCAGCACACACACAAGTTCAGAAAGAAAAACTGCTTGAGATGAAACAGGACAGGTTTGTCTAGTAACATTGTTCAAACTTAAAAGTGGACACAAGTTAAGTTACTCATTACAAAGAGAGGCGAAAAAGCAAAAAGCACTAGATATCAGGGCATAGACATTTCATGTTAATGTTTAAATAGTAACTGCATGGCTTTTCCAAATGCACAGCTTGCTCAATTGGCATTCTTGTCCCATCTGTTAGGTGATTCATAACTATCTGATTTGCTGAATCTAAAAGGATCTTTTTCACAAATTACATAAGATTTGTACCTGTTATGCAATACTAAGAAAGAGAATTTGACTTCAGTATATGATAATAGTAGTAATATATCCTCAGATCATCACTTCTGGATTTCCATGTGAAAATATATAATAAGACAAAATTTAGGGACAACAGCACTTGCTACCATTTCCACTATTTAAAATATTTTTATTCAGATGTTTGGTTTCCATCTATTAAAATTCGGCAAGCAATTTTTCCTAAGAACACAACAGGGAGATGAGCAAGGAGAGACCTGAGAATGATGTTCGATCTGTAACTGGAACGTGGAGACACCATATATCGAAGATCCTTCACGTATGGAAAGCACCACCCAAAAAAACAAAAAAAGAAGAAGATAACTTAACAAGATATTTTAGTCTAGTACAACACAAACATCTTAAGGACAATAGTACTGCTAAAAATCAAATATTTTAAATTCCGACATTGTGCTGAAAAGTTCAATTAACAAGCTTACCTCCCAAGTCTTTTGTGATGCTTTATAAGGCCAAGTCCAACACCATCAATCCCTGCAATGTTCCGAGTAAATAAAACCTAGTTTAATTAACTTACAGATTAGTTATTTAGATCACTGTATGAACAGTTCATAAACGCTGATACAAAGACGGTTATCTGTCTAGCGTGTGGTACTGTCAATATTTGCACTATGGCTTTGTTCACGAACAATAAGTTACAGCTTTGTCATTACAGAGGATCTTACCGATAGCTCTTTCTGCTATATTGTCCATTCACTGAAGATATATAAAAAATGAGTAAAGTTGCTGTTCCAATGAATCACCTGGTAAGTAGAGCAATAGAGGGGAGTCTTCCATAGGAGCAGCGCAGTCCAAGGGTGAAAACCAGCGTGGTGGCCCGCCGTCGGATCCGGACGCAATCATATCCTTGCTCCATTCCATGAAATCTTTCATAATCAAAGTAGTTGTTTGCTCTAGCTCAGTGGAGTCAGTTATGGAGTTGTTGGACATCGGTACTGTTGGCGGTTGCTGGCCGATAGAGTTAGTTGATCTCCCAGTAGTTGCAGCTGCAGATGCAATTTTGAATCTGGCGGAGGTGATGCGGAGGCATGAGTTCCGATATTGGAGAAGCGGCGAAACACCGGCCGCCGTGTAAGTGCCGGTGGAAATAGCCGCCATGGACAAAAATCAAAATGCCTTTCGCTTTTGCAATAGGTAAGAAAGCTGTGATACTCATCTTCCTTTCACTTTTATACTCCTTTACTTTTTGTTCATAAATAAACAATCATAAAACCAAAACAATATTGACTACCCATATCCATTATCAATATGTACCATGGTTCAAATTCTGAATTTATCTTTAAAAAATCATTACTAATATACACAAATTATTATTATCATAGCATAAAAGGAAGCCATTATTTGCTCATTCACATGTTAATTGTTAATTAATGTGGATGGTGTTATGCCATTTGTATTTTAAATCAATACTAGTGATAACAAAATTTTGTAGAAACAGTAAATTTTAAAGTTTAAATCACATAGTGAAGAGCAGAAATTAATTAACAGAAACTAATACTTCTGTAAAATATACCATAATCTGTAACAATTGTATGAAACAGAAAGGAAAGAAAATCGAGTCCACTAAATATACAGTGTCCTCTTGAAGAAATTATTCTTCTCTAGTATTCGAGGTTTGAATTGGAATATATCCTCCCAGGATAGAACATTTTTATTTACCATTGGAATATATCCTTCCAGGATAGAGTGATTCTATTCACCATTGGAATATATCCTCTCAGGATAGAACGATTTTATTCAGTAGTGTATTAATACCCAAAACAATGGTGTCAACGAGCCACTCAACGGCAGTAAAATACACGAATAATGAATTTGTGAGTCGGGTTTCAACTCATTATTTGAATAATTAAAAACGTTTTAGCCATTTAATTAATTAAAACTTTGTCCAAAAAATAATCTCTCAATCATTTTCCGAGGCCGAGCGAACGACGATGACGACGGCGTAAGGGGAGTCTCTCTTTCCAACCCTTTTAACAATTAATAGAAGTGTTTCTCTATTTAAACACTTGAACTTTTCTTTCCACCACCAATGAGGGAGAATTGTTTTTTTTTCTTACTAAAGCATAATAACCTTAAAAATTTCTCTTTTCATCTTCCCTTCATTTCTCATTATTCTTATTATGTACTCCATTTGTCTATAATTACTTGTTCACTTTTGAATTGAGACACCTATTAAGAAAATAATTATTGACATAGTGAGTTTACCATTTTACCCTTATTAATTATGAAGGTGATAAATTAAAAACTTAAGATTTTCAACAAGTTCTACCTTTTTCAAAATAATTAATTGAAAGTATAATAGGTAAAAAAAAAAATTGTCCTTTCTTGATTTGTCAAAATGGACAAGTAATTAAGGACAACTAAAAAAGGAAAAATATACAAGTAATTAGAGCCACAGGGAACACCCAACATATGGATGGTTCATTAAATTTGCATGTCACATTATTTCTACCTTTAAAAATGCGTATTGGAAAACAATACTCTTGATTGAAGGCGCAACGCATTGCCTCGCCATGACCAAATTAGCTTGTGTTTGGACTGGTAACATAAAATTATGATTTTAAAGTAACATTTGAATATGTAATTCTTTTGATACTTAAATTTATATTTTATTAAAAAAGATTCATTATTTTGAATTTTATAAAAAAGACTCATGTTTAACACTAATATAATATATTTATTAAAAAATAATTAGTTACTACAAATGTTGACTAATAGATTTGTATAAAAAAAAAATTGTCTTTGAAAGTTTGTAATTATAAATAGTTATTTATAAGAGAAATACAGATTTATGTAATATGGTACTTAAGGATGTTTTGATAACTGTAAAGAGTTGCAGGAATTAAGGGTGTTCCTATGGTGTTACTGAAGAAGGCGGCCGGTATCAGCCAAATCATATATTGTTGTATAGGTGGGACTAATGCAGCACTGATAACTGTGTCAAAGTATTGCCCCGATTTAGTTTGTTTCATATTGAACATTAGATGTGATGTTAGACTAAGCAGCCACTTGATGAAGTCATGCAAAAGGAGGCCTCAGACTCTGGTCTTTTTAACTGATCAAGTATTCCTTTAATACGCTAACCATAGACTATGCTGCAGAAAGTGATGTTATTTGTGTTGAATGGGTGCAACAAACTTGATACAAGTAATTAACTAGACTAGTATTCTGTTCCCTCTTTCGCCTTATAAACAAAATGGCCATTCTTGTAAATTAAAGATAGGTAGGTTCGTAATACAGTGGAATTTTGTCATTTGTAATTCAATGTTTCTCTCCTCTACGGTCTGGATTTACACGGTAACTTTTTCTTTCCTTGGAAACCGTTGAGCAAGACAAGAATGCGTTTACATCTCAATTAGTAAGGCATTAAAAATCAGGAATTATGCTTTACGGATGTATACTTACCCATCCATCAGCACCAACACATAATACTCTGTATATCCAAAGAAACCCGTCCACAAGGGCCAAGTGCTGGTTACAAACAAGCATCCTAAAATTATTACAACTTTCCTTACTCAGACCTGGCCATCTTTGTCAGATAAACAATTCTAATCTATCCATCACCCGACCAGAAAAATATTTCGCACCTCTTAATAATGAAATCGCACAATTGAAAGTGTAAGAAAATGAAATTGTTGATGCTCAAGAAGCAAGCCAACCACAAAAAACAAAAAAACTTAGGTATTCAAGGAACCAAGTACAAAATTCTCATAAAAAGTAAAAATCTTAGCTTAGAGATCTGCCCAAGACTAACATCTCAGTCTAATTACCTGCTTGGATGTTGTTACAAGTGTAAAAGTTAAAACTGGTACATAAACTGTTTGACTAACAAGGACAAACAGAATAAGCCTGAAGGTTTCCAAGCATTCTAGTCTCAATAATGACCAAGTTGCAAGCCAGCTAATTGTATTCAGCGCTTCTTTTTTGCAGCATTGGACTTTGAAGGGCTCGCAAGCAGGTAGACAAATAGAACCACAATTGAGATCACAGAAATCAAGGAACCATATTTTGCCATCAATTTCTGTAAACAAGGTGAGATAAAATGAGGTCCGAATTCTCATAATTATCAAATATTTCCATTAAGTACCAAGCACATGGGACATGTAAAATGCAGAAATTTTAGGTTCAACTTAAAATGTCAAACTTAGAGGGTGCGCTCAGAGAGATGTTTATAAGATGAATTTTCCATCCCTGTACCCTTCATTCTTTCTGAATTCAGATGTGTTTTTTCCTAAATCAGATATTGATTGATAACCTAGTAACGGGTTATTTCTCCAGTATTTGTATGTAATCTTATGTAACTGTAAGCATTATCAAAGCTAAATATTATTGTAGGAAGATGTCATACCTTTGCCTGTGAATATTCACCAAGAGTTTGGCCAGTCCATGCAAAAAAAGGAAATTCATCTCTTAGCAAACTACAATTAGCAAAAAATGTGTTCTGTAGTTTGTGCAGCTGCAGCTACTAGTATTTGAGCGCTTACCGAGTCAAACTTCTTCTCTGGAGGCCTATCAGCTAGTATGTCAAGAGGGAGGATCGGAGTTGAGAATGCCTCCTAAAACGAGAATACTATTGATCAACACCATCCATATCAAGCATACCAAGTAGAAGCATATAAGCAAGAATGTCAAACCTGTAGAGCAGCCTTAGTGGGAATACGGAATGTTATGACCGCTGGTGCCCCATAAAACACTGTTTTTTTCTTAGTTTCCAACTCAAAGGAATGGGAGAGAGAAGCCCCACTGACATCAGACAAACAAACCAGCATGAAAAAGAGACAAGATAAAGAAATTAAATAGTCAGATGCCACCAGTGTTAAGAGGACTCACGCGTCCAGCCTTTCCCATGACATGGATGTGTTACCAGCGACAATTTCAAATACATCTTGAGACCAGTTATCATCATAAAGACTCACATCGTATGCCGTCCTGAACAAAAAGAGCTTTTTCATGTCAAAGGCACATCATCGGTAAATGATAATGCATAGAGCAATTGGCAGAAATCTAGAGGTTCGAGAACAATTTAGAGTGTGTCAGTTGCACAAGAAAAGGTAAAAGAATCTCGCAAAGTCATTCTCTAATTAGCTAATGAGATTCTTAGATTCCTAACTGTTCACCACATTGAAGCCAAGGAATTAGTCTATCCCACACATGGTTCAGGAACAAGCACAAGGTTTGAAACATTTTGAAATGTACTGAGAGAGAGACTGCTGATGACGTGAAAAGAAAGTGAGAAACACATTATTATTTAGAAGGAAAATACTATTTTCACCAAATATCACTAGTGGTTACTATCTTACCCCCAAGACTTAACAACCAAATTTCAGCCAAGGTGACTGTATTTTCTTGTAGGAAATCTTTCTCATTAAGCACAAGGGATCCAAACAGCTGACTTGGAGGGTTTCCAAATCCCTTTACTAAGCAATTCCTTATTTCCCTCTTACCAATCAAGGGAAAAAGTGTCCTTTTCTCTCGGATCACATTCAGCAATATCATCCATTGCTACCTAAATCCAGACAGATTGATCTGGTGGAGAAAGACTAAGGTACATAGTGTTATCTGAAACAGGTGCTGGCTGGAGAGTTTGAATACAGGATTCCATTGATATTAAACTCAGAAAAATAGGACACAGGAGTTGGTCTTTCAAAAATTAGAAAACAATAAGACCAAAAAATTATAGACTACTCATTGTCTGTAAAGCACCCAAGGATGACTTTTAAAATGATTTTGTCCTTCACAAACATTGTCTACAAAACTTATATGCATAAACACATTTAGAAGAAGATAAAGATTTTTTTGATTTTGAATATTTATTTGTTTCACGATAAATTACTGAGCATTGGAGGTGAAGTCAAAAAGGGATTCCAGTTAAGATCATTTTGCAATTTGTTGTCTCTTTTTCCAAGGATGCTTCAGCTTCAGGAAGGTGAAAGCAATAAAAAAAACTTATGGGGATTTCAATAAGAAAGAAATCTGATTACACGATTAGTAATTGCACTTCCCCTATACGGTAGTGTGGAGGAAAAAGAGAAGATAATTCAAATAATTACATTTATTAACCCAATAAAACAATCAGATCAAGAGAATTCGCACCCCTGTTTGGAAATGGGATAAAATGAAGACTGAGATTAAACTAGAATAACTTTCATTTCCTTACCAATTGAGCAAAGTATAGTTGTATTTATTAGCTTCGACTCCATAAATACAGGTAGGATAAAGACGCCTCAAACAATTAATGCTAATTACCGCAGATTATCTAGGTAATCCTTTTCCTATTATGGAAACAGGAAACAAATTCGGACTAATTGAAATGAAATGAATGACAGATTTAGGCAATCAAGGCGCGAGATCGGCATCTGTGAAAACAAGGAAGTTGAGATCTGAGTAAGAAAGGGGAAGAAAAGCATACGCAGATCCTTCGTTGTAGATGTCGATGGAGATGGAAATCCGTTCGATGTCGGATTTGAGTCGAGTAAGAGCGGCCTTCTTGTGTGCGACAATAAATGGCCCGTCAGAGGCTGCGATTGTCCATGAGAAACATAATAGAGCTAATACGGTAGCTAGGAGGAACTTACTCGCACAATCCGCCATGCTTGCTTAACACAGATACAGATACAGATACAGATTCAGATTCAAATATGACCAAGACTTTTCAGCTGGCTTTACCACTATATTACATAGGCAAGGGGTTCTTAGCATTTTGCGTCGGAGAGGTACCACGTGTTCCAATATCATTGGTCCAGTGACGTGCCTTGCTCCAAACTGGACTGAAGAATATGGGCCACTTGTTTCTTTACTATAGCATCATGCATTAAGCCCAACTTCTAACTCGGCCCATCGAGTTAACTTCACTAATTGCCTAAAAGGAAGTGGTTTTGATTTATTATTTTTTTCACCTTCTTAACAATTTTTAAAAAATAATATAGCATGTTTCAAAAAATTTGCTAGGCAAAGATTTTATTGGTTAATTGGTAATAAGTTGTGAAAATAAATTAATTTGATCTATAAACATGTATTTATAGGCAATGAACACGTATTTATAGGCAAAAGCTATTACTCATGCATGATTGACAATATGCGCAAAACTTTTGTATCAAACATTTTGCTTATAAAACAGTGAATTTATTAATTTACCATAAGTTTTGTGTTTATGGGCAAGGCTAAAACTTACGTTTGATGGACAATTTACGTTCTTTTCTATAATTTCTTCCAAGTTGAGATTATTTTTTACAAATTTTGTGAAGTGTTGACAAAAATTCAAGGTTGAGACTTGAGCGCTTTTAAAGACATTACACATCATTTTCTGCAACTAGTTTGTGTCAGGGGCGAAGCTACATGGAGTCTGAATCCCCTTCATCGAAAAAATTACACTATATATATATGATCAATTTTTTTAATTTACATATTTCTACTATATAGAAAAGCCAAGTGATGGACGACCACTGACATTTTCAAAAATTCAACTTCATTCAAGGGCAAAATAGTAATTACGTCACTATGGAATGGAAGTCTAGAAGGATCGCAAGCAAGTCTCTTCTCTTCTCGCTGTAGAAAAATAATGTTCTTAAGAGCAGAAACATCTAGAGCTCATCAAAATATTTTATTTATTCTATATAAAGGTAAGTTTGATGCATTTGTCTGTAGAATTTTCTCATTTTTGACTTTCTCCACATACCTCATATACTTCAAAAGTAGACCCATATTCATTTGTAACAACTCAATCAGTTATTACAGTTTAATTCAATTCACTTTGTTACAAAAATAATAAAATCAATTCGATTTCTGATTTGGGTTTTTGATTTACCATAACTGTTTTTCAATTTTTAGTTTCTACTTTTGAGTTTTTAGTGTAATTATACTTTATCATGCATTTTCTTTTGATTTCAATTCTTATTTGGGTTACATATATCA